CCCCCCCCCATCACCCTGATTAGGGATCGGACCGAACCTGAGCTGCTCCCGAACACAGAAGGAATCTTCTTCCATGCCGCCCAATCAGGGAATTCCTCACCCACAGGGGCGGGATGTAGTGACATCACTGACCTTATATGGCTATATTCTGTAAATGACATCGGCACAAGCATCCCGCCCCCTTTGTTTATATGCTGGGCTAAGGGCACTTCCTTGTTCAGAGGAGCTCCGGTTCCGTCCGGGTTCGTTCCATACCTGAGCTCATCCCTAATCCGGACCTGTGCTTCATTCTTTTCCTTCCCAGGGTACTTTCCCGCCGATGTCCTTCCTGTGCACGCCTCCCGCTGTGGGGAAGCGTATCTGCCGCCCAGTGTCATCCTATCATCTTCAGACGACGACTCCTTGGACGGCTTTCAGGACATTCGGGATGTTCCCGAGTCCCGGGTCGCCTGTCCAATGTGTACGTTCCGGTTCCGGAGCAGCGAGATTGAGCGGCACGCCAGCACGTGTGGAGAGTGATGATTGGCGTCATCCAAACACACAACCTCCAATGGTGGCTGCGGGAGCGCTGTGTCAGGATTACAGGACTCCATACAACGCTACCGGAGACGCAACGCAGGTTCTTGCCGGAAATGCATTCGCACTAATTCTTGGCCGGACTCTAAAGTGGACCTGTCACCCAGCTGCATGGAGGAAACTCCCGTTCTGTACAAAGAGATAAATGTATATAAAGTATAATAAATCTTTACAGCCAATCACTGGGCTTAGTGTGTGAAATAAATTTGGGGGGATGCACTTATTGTTCCTGCCCCCTTCCATTGGGAGTCCCCAGGCACTAGATCATGGTAAGTACACATCTGCGGAGGAGAGGGGTTGGGACTGTGAGGTTAGTGGAGGAGGGGACGAGAAGGGGGCGGTCTCTGAAGGTGCACCTATTGTTTAAAGGAGAACTATGAGGGGAGGTGCTTTTCACTCACCTCATAGTCCTAGCCGACCTGTGACAATGAGACTGTCACAGGTCGGCTCAGTAGATCGGGAAGTGAGCGAACACATACTGGTGCTCGCTCACTTCTCGATCATGTCCCCGCAGAGAGCCGTGACTGTCACTCACGGCTCCCTGCAGGGATTCCCCCTCCCCTGTCCGATCCTCCAGCGCTGACTGGCGGAACGGACGGGGGAGGGGGCGGGTACAGCTGGCTGTGCCTCTAGATAGGCGGAGCCAGCTGTCAATCACGCAGCTGGGTGGATCTCGACAGCAATGTCGGGATCCGTCCCGACAGCGGCGGTCTCAGTATATAGGGAGCTGTAGCTCGCTATATACTGAGCTTAGGATAACGGGAGGACGCTAGTTTGTCTCCTCCCGTTACCCTTAGGAGAACTATGGGGACCCCATAGTTCTCCTTTAAAGTGTATCTTCTCTATTGTAAAAACATCTTCTTTCTCATCTATTGAAGGACTCGGACATTCACACCACACAGGTTATACTGCCACCTACAGGAGGTTTGGACACTGGCAAACAGAAAAATCATAACTCCCCCCCCCCACATAACCTTCTCTCTACCCAGCATGCCTCAGTTTTTGTCTAGTGTCCTAGGTTATTTTTCTTTAATATCTTCAATCAAGATTCTTTACTGACATCACTGCTTGAGCCGGTCCCTATATAGCTGCTAGCTCAGCCTACCTTTGGAGGTCACAACCGAACCCTGCTGGACTGGACTTGTGGTGCTAACCTAGAATGTGACTATTGGCGCTGGGCATTGTGGTACTTTTTAGACCACGGTGTACTGTGTTAGCGGCAAAACGCTTTCCAGGTTCAGAGCCGTGGCACGGTCTCAGGTGTGACCCCGTCTCTGAAGACATTGTGAGTAAGGCTCTTCAGGCTGAACCACCAGGAACTACCTCACTGTTGGGCACCATTTTTAAATGACCCGTCACCGCCCCTTTTACAGCAGTGGGGGTCAAGGCTGAGGGACCTAGTGCTGATGTCATCTGCTCCACGCTGACTTTCCGGCCATTCAGCCTGGAGAAGGCACCATCCTGCTGTAGCTGCTCCTGGAGCACTACGTGGATCTCTGGTCTGTCTCCACTGCTGACCTCCAGTGGCCAAAAACCCTCATCAGCACCAGCAGCCCAGGATTGTGAGTACCTGAGGCCTTTCCTCGTATTGGGCTTTCTTGCGTTTCCACTACAAGGAAGCATCATGTCTTCGCTAAGACACATAGAGGACAGGCTAACTGCCAGAGGTGACCTCGGCCCATGGTGCCCTAGTGATACAAGGAGTGTTTATATGGTGTTCACAGAAGGACCTGATGCCTGTAATCTAGAACCTGGGGACCCCATTGCCATATGGTCATCATCGTCTGCGTTGTCTTCAGCTGAGGATGAGGCCTTCACCATGACCACCGGGACCTTAATGTCCACCCTGGACTTCAGATCTGTTTGTGCCCAGGTACTGGAGCATTCTCTCTGCAGAGCCTCTAAGAGCACCCCGGTGTCATGTCCTTCCGAGTCAGCTTCTAACCCCCCAGAGTCCTTTATCAAACTTGGCCTGCGGCCCGTCACCTTTACTGACTTAGTTTTAGAGTCCCAACAGTCTATCTCTGAAGAGGCACTGCAGTCCCCTGCCCAGACACTGATTTACAGGGGGTTGTTTCAATGCTCGTTGATGCACCAGGAGGATCAGCCGGCTGTTCTAGGCCTTGGTCCTCTTAGAGCTCCTACATTCCAAAGACCTCTTCACTGCACGTTCCTCTGCACGGAATGGAAGCACCTTGAAGGGTCTTGGGCCCCACCTGAAGTTTTGTGTGCTGGAAGTTTTCCCTTTTTGAACAGGAATTTGTAAATCAATAATCTGTAACCACCATAGCTACACCAGTGACCCACCTTAACAGGAAGACCACCAGGATGGAGGATGTGCTCGCTTTTAGGGATTCCACGGACAGGCACCTAGAGTCCTTCTTTAAGTCCCTGTTTGAAGTGATTGGTCTGGCCCTCCGCCCCATGTCATCATTAACCTTAATCTAAGGAATGTGAGGATCCTTACAGAGTGATATCTCATAAGGTAGTTAGGTGACCCCTAAGATTGGTAGAAGAACCCAACGGCGTCGACCTGACTGAAGGGGGGTAGTGTGAGCGAGAGGTAACCCTGTAAGGTTAGGCAGGACGGAAGGCATCCCACAACCCCAGAATGGTGCATGGAGACACCAGACAAAGACAAGAGGATGGGCAAAACCATTTCTCTTAATATCCAGCAGTGACAGAGAGACTTTGCAGGACCTGGCTGACCCGGTCATAGAACATGGTTCTAAGAATCTTCTGATCGGCCCCCATCCAGGGAAGAATTCATAGGAGCGGGAACCCGAGCTAAGAACTTCCGTCTGATTGAGGGAATGACCATGGAGGGGATCTGGAGAAACTTCCTCAGGAGGCTGCAGATCAGCCACAGGAGGACCCATCTCCAGATCTTCAGGTTCTATGAAGCCCTCTGGACGTACTCCATCCCCGAGAGGGGTACCTTCCGCAGAATACCTAACATGTCCTGCGTGCTGGCAATCCCCAGGGAAGCACTGCGGTATATGTCGGAGCTATATACATGTATAATAATAGTGTGTGACTGTGGGGGGGAGGGGACATTAGAGTGTAAGCTCCTCTGTACAGAGACTGATGTGACTGTGGGGGGAGGGGACATTAGAGTGTAAGCTCCTCTGTACAGAGACTGATGTGACTGGCTTAGTGTTCTCTGTACAGCGCTGCGGTATATGTCAGAGCTATATTAATCCTCAGTGCTCCATATGTACAGATATATCCAGAGAGGAAAGCGCACAGTGTAACCCTTTCAGCGCTGGCCTGCTGTATCAGCTTCCAGCAGATATTACCCGCTCTCCGTCCTCTCCTCCGGCAGCTCGGGGGTTAATGACAAAGTGAAAAAAAAAACATCACCGAGAGACAAACACATTTAATGACGGGGTGACGGTTGTCCTCGGGGGGCCGCTGATTAGAAGGGAAACTGGTTGTCTTTCCATAAAGACCGACAACTCTCCCCTGGGAGCTCGCGCTGGAAACAGAGTGCAGGTGAGAGACTGTCAGACATCAGCGGAGTGCCGGAGGAGACGTCCATGGGCTGAGGAGGGGAGCGCCGCGCCGCGCCACAGCCACAGGAGCCGAGACATGGAGCACTTAACGGTAAGCATCGCAACGTCTCCTCCCGAGTCCTACTGTGCTCAGTGTTCTCTGTACAACGCTGCGGTATATGTCAGAGCTATATCCATGTATAATAATAGTGTGTGACTG